CACATGTGGCATAGCAAGAGGTGTGATTGTCGGGATTGGAGAACAGATCCCATCACACCGTTCAGTGAACATGTGCCAGGGGCCTTCATCTCTGTGCTGTAATTTGCTGGTGGGTAATAGCATTTTCCTCCATCATAAGGATATTTTGAGGATAACTACATTACAAATTTTCAGATACTAGGGCAACTGAATCATAAATGTACCTAAAATTGGCATATTTGAATTGTCAGGTATTCTTTACACACCCAAAACTTGTATCGATATCAGATGAAAGGAACCCTAGCATTTCAGAATTGTGCTCACCTTAGGACAAGTTTTGTGAGAAATTGTAATGAACTGCAGTGAACGCCAGTCAGAACTTCTGTAGGGAACTGACCCCCAACACCAGAGTCCCTTGTTAGCACCCTAACTACTGAATCAGGCTTCCTCACTGCATGACTAATATGTGGTTTGAAGCAGAAATCACATGAAGCATAGAGATTTCAACAAAACTTGGATGTTTTGGCTTGTCTTGGTGTTGAACTTTTGGTTTCACACAAAATTATGGGCAATATTTGGTCAAGGTAGGATACAAACCAAGAAAACACAATATAAAAATTCCAATGGTGCAAAAAAATTGGTTTTATAAAATTTCAGTGGAAAATCAAATGCATAAACCAACATTCTGTTGATTTATGCATGACAAATCCCATACAATGCATTAAATATATGCCCCAAGAGTGATTGTTACAATATAGTAACTTCCAGTTAGGGCACCATGAATGTGTTGAATATGTTAATTCTCTGTACAAACATCTCCTAACAGTCTGCTCTTCAGTGTCCATAAACAAAAGCAAATATGGTGGAGGACATTCATAAAATATGCTGCAACTGCTTGGAGTAAGCATAACAAAGCCTTAAAAAGCAATCAAATATTTGTAAAATATACAAAGAGTGAGCTGCTCTTGGCTGAGTACAGCTCAGTTGGAAAAAAACACTCCTGTCCTGTGCATCCTGTAATAAAGTTGCTGCCTCTGGCCCATGTTTTAAGGTCAAATCTTTTCTGGATGTGGTAACATGCAGGGACCTGGCTATGAGGGAACTTTGTAATTGGTTAAATCTGTACTGGTATACAGCCTCCAGACAGGAGATATAACGTTATCCAAAGAGGTGAAATTTTAAACGCAACCTGAAAGACTTTACCTTTACTTGGCAGTGAATTTCAAGCCCGGTAATATAACAGCTTTGTAAATATTGCTAAAGCAAGGCCAACAAGTATGGGATTTATGCAACCTTATATGCCTGTCATTTTACTAACATCAAACAAGGGAAGACCTCTAACCCAGCAGTAATTGCAGACATAGCTTGTAACCTCTTGCTGAAAAGAGCTGAGAGACTGAAGGATATGAGTTGGGTAAGACACAGATTGAGGGCTGGGTATTAAAAGCACATTGGTGTAGGCCTCACTGGGGCACTGATCAATATATGTTGCTCACACAAAGGCTTTGCTAAAGTACTGGCCAGAGTAGGCCTCACCAGCAAACCTGACCCATGCATGAACTCCTCACATTAACAAAACTTGGCCTGTGAGCCAGATGTGAATTCTTAACAAGAAATGGAAAGGGGAAATGATGGTATCTCCATTTCTATTAGTTCCCTCATTCCCGTTACCTTAGAGCAGTGACTTGTGAATTATGTGTGTTTTTTACATCTAACATTGATAATATTGAATAGCACCCTTAAAAGGATCTCACAGCACCATGGGATGCCACAGCTTCCTGTCTGAGAATCCTTGATGTGAAGGGGTGGCAACATAAAAGCCTCATCTTTCCCAGGAAAAATGAGCAGCACTACCATTTGGGAATTCTCTGAGAAGTAGCAGCCATGCTGCAGTACCAGTGCCAAATCCTTCAGGGCAGTTAATACCACATTATGGTCAGTTAGATATGTAACCTGGGCAGTACTCCAAGAGGTACCCCCTCTCCAACTGAAGGGATCAAAGCAGATGCACAGCACTGTGGGAGGTGTAGGGACTCTCCTCCCCCTATAGAGCAGAGCCAGACCACCAATGGGGACTTAACCAAATACCTTTTAATGAGGAAACAATACTGGGAACATAACAGGCATAAATCAGAGGGCATAGTGGACACTACAATGCCCCAAGGGGGAAGGATTCAACAAAGGTTAGACACTTACAATCATTGACAAAAAACACAGTTAACAAAATATAAAACACAAACAGCAGAACAAACAATACAGGTTGGTGAAATATAAAAAGGCACAAAATGCAAAATGTCAAATGACAAGGAAATATAGGGCCTAGGTATCTGGAGGGGGAGAAAACACAGAGGCCCCTTTCCACTGCAAGAGGATTTGCTTCTTGTTAACTCACTCACCCCAGCAGGGAATTGAACCCAGCTCTACCACATAGTAGGCAGAAGCATCCACCACACAGCCACCAATGAGGTGCCTGACTACTGCTTGGAGGAGCTGGTAGCAGAGCTGGGAACCTCTCAGGTCACTGGTCAGATCCTGGCTGGAGCTGGGAAACCTCTCCTGCTGGCTGCAGCCTCTCGTAGAGGATCCTGGAGCCCGGTGGGGAGCCGCTCCTGCCAGCCACACGCTGTGCTGCTGAGGGTCCAACTGCTGCCTGTAGGTCCTGCTCCTTCAGGTTCTTCTGAGGCAACTGCTCCTGCCCCACTGACACAGCTCTTCAAAGCTCCTTCCTTGTGGTCCCTTGCTGCTCTCCCCCAACTCAGCTGCGCTGCCCCTTTTATCCCCCTCCAGGTGACCCAAGGGGCCAATCAAGGGACACGGAGGGTGAGTCTCTGGGGCCTGATTCGTGAGGAAAGGGAATCCCAAGTCCTCCAATCATCTTTTGCCCTTTCAAAACCCCTGGGCTAAGTCACTGCCAGCTAGCCCGTCACAGATGGATTTAAATAATGTGGCCATTTTACCACAGTCTTTGATTAAATGAATTGTCTAACATGATTGACTTCCAATGCTAAGCCTGACAACAGTATAATAAAGGCCCAAGAAATCTGTGGCCCAAGAAATCTGTGGAATCCAAAGTTTAGTTGAAGCTGCTCCATTTCCAGTATCTCAAATAGCTTTTCTTTGACAAAGGGGTAGTGAGATAACTAGGAGAATGCTAAATTACTAAGATGGTTGCTGATGGATGTCAGTTTGCTGTTAGGGGTGTAGGTTGTAGCCATGGCGCTTCCTCAGCCTGATCAAGGGTGTTTGTGCCTGAAAGCTTGCGAAGAAGAATTTTCCCTGCTGTTTGAGTTGGTTTAATAAAAAGTATTGGATTTATCCAAAGAACCTTATCTGCAGTTTGCTGTAAAGAAGGTAGTGGTAAAATAGTGAAAGTGCTTTACAGCTATGCTGTGACAGAAATGCATGGCTGCAGAGTGCTTTAAAAGTGGCCAGTCACATGAGAAATTAATTCTTATGTAATGAAGGATCGGACGAAGGTGTTCCAAAGCAGAGCACTATCATCTAACTTCTTTCAGTCCCCACGCATGATCAGGGTTGGGCCGATACAGGCCATCCCCATCTCTGCTGCTATTTGAAGGAAGGGAGGGTGGATGAAGGAAGGGGAGCAGGTTTACCCTGCCTGAGCTGGAAGGCAGGGGGGCTGTGAATTAGAGCCCCCTCGCCTTGTGGCCTCCCCAAACCCTCCCTCCAGTTCAGGATAGGCAAACCCTAGTCCACAGTGTGCTCCCCATCCCTCACCCCCGCTCCCTTCCTGCAGACAGCTCTGGAGCTGGAAGGTTGGGGAAGGGGCAGAGCTAGGGGACAGAGGTTGGGCTACAGGCAGGCAGCTTCTCCCCTAGATCAGTTTCGAAGCGAACCTCAATCCCCCTCCCTAACCAACCAAACAGTGAACTTCTGTTGAGTCAGGGCGAGGGGAGGAATGCTTTAACTCATAGTGCTTTCTATTAATCACCATGAGTTAGAGTAAGGAGATGCACATCTACCACACACTTTTTTGTACAGGTTGATATTTAGAGATCTTCTTTCTCTGCAATATGTTTATTACAAAAGGAAGGAATAAGGAAGTCCATGATAGCAAATTTTTTGTGGGTATTTTTTTGAATCAGTAGGCAGTCTGGTTTTTGGTTTCTAGTGCTTTATCCTCTTTTTCCACTGCTCTTTCCAAAGGATCTTCACTTTGTCATTGTCTCTGACTGGTTCAGAATTGTAACAGCAGTAATAATTGTACCTGGAACCAGTATGTAGATCTAATCCAAATGGTTTCCATTTTGTGACCTTATATCTCATACTTTTTGCCCCATGCCCACATCCACATTTTATTTAATTTAGTTTCTGGCCTTGCATTCAGATCCAGTAGTACAATCCCTTGTATTCCTTACCTAAGGAAATGGTATTCCAGTCATGCTAGCAGACATGATTGTAGGATTTCTAGTCCTGACTAGCAGCAAAACACCATACATACATGCTGTGCTACAAAAATAAAAAACCTACTACTTATAAATGAAATTGAGATGTGTAATTTGTCATGCTGGTCCTTAGTCCCATGCTTCAATTTTTCTACCTGAATAACACTGTCTGCTGCCTTGTGAGCTGATGGCTTGGCCTGTAACATAGACTATTAAAGCTATCAAGGGTTCTCTCCTGCCATGTCCTTGGTGTAAACTAATTTTAGAAAGGATGGTTTTGATTCCTCTTCCTGCGGCAATTTTATAGATCCACATGTTGTTACATGGACCTGAGGCTCTGCCTCCCCTGCACCCTGCCTAGCGTCAACCTGATGGTGCAATGTTGAGTCCGGTAAATCCTTGCCCTGCCCTCCTCAGTTCAAGAATCATTGTCACAATAATAGTGACAAGAGTGCCCCGGCTCAGGGTCCTACTATGAATATCCTTACTTAGACTCAGTCCCCCATATATATCTCTGCTTTACTCGGGGTACATTGAGCTGGAACACGTGTTTAACATGTCACCCGCCTTCTCACTCACAGTTTTACCAGTCCCTTCTCTCTTCTGGTCTTTCAGGCTCATCACTGATCTAGCTCAACTTGCCAACATCTGGCTTCCATGGACTCTGCTCTGCTAAGTATACTGATTCCTCCAAGTCAGTCCTGGTGAACAGCCTTTCAACTGTGGGCTTCCACCACTCACCCCTGCTGGGGCATTCTACTTTCCTGAACCATTCCAGGTGATGCGGGGAACTCATTTCTGGTTCCTCTGAGAAGTTTTCCTGTGAAGGCTTTGAACCAGCATCTGCATTGTGCCCTGTGACTAGGTGCTGGCATATGAAGCCAGATGTTCCCTTTCCTTCCCTTCTTCCACTGCTGACAGCCAGTCTCCTTGCTGCCTCAGAGTTTCCTGTAATTCCTGCTGCATGGCAGTCTCTCTCTCTCTGCCACATATCCTCCCTGTAACAGGGGGCCTACCAGGGCCAATGTCTGTGTGGCTCACCCACCTGTTCTTGGGCAAACTACCTGCCTTCTCATCTGCCACGCCTTGGTCTTAATTGATTAATTAATAGATGTAATTAGGCGGGAGTCTGCCCATTTTCTGCCCTGCTGCTAGGGGTCGCTATCTGCAGCTCCATTCCTCCCCTACACTGCAGCCCAAGCCTCGCGGATGACATCCTGATGTTCTCATACGCTCCATTCCCCCACGATGGGGCCCAGAATCCTACTATAGGACCCCACCTGGGTTCCTCCCTTCAGGCAGACTCTGCTGCCTTCATACCAGGTCATATATCACCCTGCCATCGGTTCCCCTTTGGGTGCGGTCCCCTCACTGGGACCTTCGGCTCACACTAGCCCCAGCCCACCTCCAGGCCAGTTGGGACCCCAGGCTCTTGAGTGTCCCTCTCGGTGGGCTTCCTTGCCCTTCTGACCCTCCTGGTCCTGGCCCCCGTCTGGGCCAGTCAGGGGAAGCTCTGGCAGGCCCTGATGTATGACCCATACTCTTATATCGGGGTCCCCCTCTCTGGATCTTCCTTTATGGACGTGGGGATCTGGGGTACCTCACACCATGACTGGTGCCTCAGGGTCTCACAGGGGACTCTTACTCCCCCCCCCCCACTGGGCAGCATGTCATGGTGCTACAACTGGTGTTATCTTTGACCCATACTCTGCCTCCCAATGATGGAGGACTTATTGGGGTCAGGGCTCAGCTCTCACTCTCTCTGGATGAGCCCCCTCTCCCTTCACAGGGCTCCACATCACCTTCTCTCTGGGGCTTCTGATCACTGCCCCCTCTTGCTGTGGTTCCACAGCGCTGGCCCCCCTCACACTAGGGGCTCCACACTGCTCATAACGCCCCCTTTACTCGGGGTCTCGGGGTGGGCTCAGGTGGCCATAGCTGTGCCTGGCCCCAACTCTCCTCCTCAGGGTCTTGAACCCCCACAGGGCTCAGGTGGCCTTGGCCACACCTGGCCTCCAACTCTCCTCCTCAGGGCTTGCACCCCCACAACTACCTCCGGCGTATGCGACCCACCCTAAGGTGAGGGCTAGGGGTAAGGCGCCCTGACCCGCCTTTCACCAGGGTGATCACTGGCCTGGCATTTCCTGGGGGCTCCCGCAGCACTGGGAGCCCCACCAGGCCACCCACGCCCGGCAGGGTGTAGTTTCCGGTCGTACCCAGGACCAGAACCAAGACCAGGAGCCTCCTACTATCCCCTACTGCTTCTCCCTTACCTCCGGATGAAACTCAGCAGCCCGCAGGCCAGGCAATGTTGTTGCCTCTTCTCCAGCAGCCAAACTGCTTTGTTTATATAGGCAGCCCTAAGCCTAAAATGGCTGCCCTCGTTAAGCACCTGGAGGCTGCCAGCTCCAGGGCCTTAAAGTGATGGGCACACATAGTGCCCTGCCACACTCCTGATTAAGTTGCCTTGTGGCATTGAGGAATTTGCATCTCTATGGTGTGGTTTGTCATCTTCTCGGCTTTGTTCATCTCTCAGATTTGTTGCAACTTTGCTGCATTGGGACAAAAAATCAGTGACTTTGTTGGATACCCCTGGCCTGAAACTAATGGAGAATTTGAAAGACTGTAAGGACAGTACTCAGCGCATTATATTTTCATTATCACTTTTAGACTTGTGCAACCATTATAGTGGGGTGTGGTCCATCAGCAGGGTAAATTCCCACTCGATCAAATAATAATGAAAATATGTCATCACCCACTTAATGGCAAGACACTCTCTTCATTCTTCGCACCTTCGTTCTGCTGCATTCAATTTGTTACTAGCATATGCTATTGGTCTTTCAACGCCCTCCTTTTCTTGGCATAATACTGCCCCAACAGCCATTTAGGATGCTTCTGTCTACAGGATAAAAGGTTTAGAAAAATCAGGGTTACCATGAGAACATTGTTGCATAATGCCTTCTTAATGTTGTAAAAAGCCTCTTCCATTTTAGGTGTCCAACTTATTACAACGTGCACTCTGCCCCTTATGGAATCTGTTAATGGTGTTTCCACTTCCACAAAACTGGGGATAAATCTTCGATAATAGTTTGCTAGCTCAAGAAAAGAATGCATTTGCAAACCCAGATAGTTGGTTTAATGCATTCCCAATGCACAATTTTTGGGGTTTGCCAACATGCCAATGCTACGTAACTCCCGTAGCACTGCCTCCAAATGCTGCACACGTTCAGCCCATGATTGGGAGTAAATAACAATATCATCAATGTATGTTAAAATATGGTCCATCAATCATTGAAATGAAGCCACAGCACCATGTAAGCCAAACGGCATTCTGGTGAATTCCAACAACCCCCATGGCATACCAAAAGCCGCTTTGTGCTGATCTCTCCCTGACATAGGGATCTGATGATATCTTTTTGACAGGCCTATAGTAGAAATGTATTTTGCTTGGCCTATCCATTCTAACAGTTCCTCAACATGGGGCACTGGTGTTGCAGGGGGACCCGGGATGGAGACAGTCCTTCCCTGCAAGAAAAGCCAGGGCGAACTTACCTGTTTCAGGCCAGGAAGAGACAGGCAAGCCGCACCAACATGGACCACCTGGTAGGTTTGTGAGCTGTGTTTATTTCCAGTTAAAAGCATCGTGGCTGGATGATGTAATCTCAGGATGCCGCCCAGACTGAATAAAAACTGGTGGCAAAAAGACTGTGGTGGAAGCACTGTAGGGAGCAGGCGGCAGAAGTGCTTCCTGCGTTGGGCATGGGCAGTGCCAGTGACTGTCAAGAGATCCGGGGACAGACCCATTGAAGGGGTCTGCAGTGAGGGGAAGGAGGGAGGACAGTGTCAAGAGACTGCAGGAACCACAGACACTGGGCCAGTGAGTGGGGACAGGCCATGGCCCTACCCCCTTGTCCTTTCTGTTAATTTATTCTTTTTCTTTTTCTTTCAGGGATTGCCTGGAGGGACCCAAAGATGAGGGTCAGAGCTATGGGCAGTGCTCTGGGATTAGGAGTGGCCAGGACAGCACAGCAGGCAGCTGAGCCATAACGAAAGACCCAGCAGAAGAGCAGGGATGGCTTTACATCCCAAAGAGACATAGGGCTGGGAGAGGTCATCTGTAGCCCAGCCAATGAGAAGAGAATGGGAGTTGACACTTGAGGGCGAGCCATCTGACCACAAGTGGCTGGTGCATGGATGGGGTGTAGGGGAGGTGCAGCCCCATGAATACCTGCCAGGAAGTACGACTGATCCAAGAGGGACCACAGGAGGGGTCCCCACTGCTGAAGGAAAGATCAAATTTATGGCAGGCGAGTTTCTGGGTTTCCCTCGGGGAGTTCATAGGCCCTCTCTGAGACTGCTGGAACAAATGCAGTGGCCAATCCCAGGTGCACACTCCAAGGTGGCATGAGAGTGCCTCCTCAAGACCAGTGGGCACAATTGGGAATGCATCAAAATGTGCCATTGTATTTAGTCTCCTAAAGTCTACACATATTCTCAAGGACCCGTCTATCTTCCACATGATTACCATGGGGCTATGCCACGGGGTTTGGGAAGGTATTATAATTTTCTGTTTCAGCATTTTCTGTGTTTCTTCATATACCTTTGCCTGCAGGTGATGTGGCACTGGTCTCCACCTTTCTCTCACAATTGCCCCTTTTGCTGTATTTATCTCATGTACAATACTTTTAGCTTTCCCTGGTGCCTCATTAAATACATCCCTAAACCTGGCAATAATAGTCCCCGGTTCATTTTGTTGTTCTTTCATTAAACTAGTTCCTCTTGTAATTCCTTCCTTCTGTAATCCTTCCCCAATTTCAGGCCCCAATTCGTCCTATGCTTCCTCCGGGCTAAGTAACCAACCCTCTGGCTCTCTCCATGCTTTTGATACATTGACATGGTATATCTGATATTCCCTTACATGCCCGGGATGGTGTATGTCATAATCCATGGGCCTTGCCTTTCTACTTATTTCAAACGGTCCTAGCCGTTAAAAGTTTAAGTTAATAGTTTATTAGCAGAAGTAGGGAGTAATACTAGCACTTTGTCTCCTATTTGAAATTCTCTTTCTTGTGCCTTCTGAACACAATTAGCCTTTTGGTGCTGCTGAGCTCCTTCCATGTTCTCATATGCTAACTGCCATACCTATCTAAGCTGTTGGACCATATCTTGCCTATACTGCTGAGCCCCAACCCCTTATTGTCCTTAATATTCCCAATCCTCCCATACAATCTGGAGTAAGATCCTAGGCTTATGGCCAAATATCAGTTAAAATGGTGAGAACTGAGTTGATGCTTCGGGGGTGTCTCTTACTGCAAACATCAGAGGTGTTAAAAGTAGGTTCCATTTCCTGGGCTCTCTCTGAATACATTGCTGTAGTATGCATTTTATTGTGCCATTTAGACACTCTACTGGACCACTGGTCTGTGGATGAGAAATTGATGTTCTTAGGTGTTTAATCCCTAATATTTGACATATTGCCTTTAACACTCCCAGCATGAAATTAGTGCCTTGATCAGTTATGATTTTTCTAGGCACTCCAACCAACAAAATTCACTTCAACAATTCTGCAATTTGGAGGGCTGTTGCTCCTTTGAGGGAAATTATCTTTGTATATTGTGTCATGTAGTCAATCAGGACAAGAATATATTAATTGTTGCATGCATTAATTTCCCCCTGACTTATACTTCACATGGTACAATAAACCTTTACATACTTCAAAGTGTGGGTCACTTACATGCAAATCCGGTCTCACAACTTGGCCCTCAATGCTGGTCACTTCATTCTCCTGTATCTCTGAGTATTCTTCTTCCTTGTCCTGTGCTATCTTGAACCAGGGTCCCATTGTGCCAGACCCCAGGTTAACAAACAGCGCATCCTCCAAGGAAGTGGCCTCCTCCTCATCTGCAATCTACCCCTCCACTCGGGGCCATCTTTTCCTCCCTAGTTTGGCCTATTTTACTTCCTTTAAGACATCATACAGGGATGGCTAGTCTCTCCCAATTATCATTTCCCCAGTGAGCTCCAGAGCAAATCCAACTCTCATTAATCCTATTCTATTTGCTATTTTTATATCAGCATAGCCCCTCTGGTATTGCTCCACACCACCATGGATACAACACACCCATACTGATTTACACCATTCTATAGCATCCTCAGGGACCAAGTCAGCCCTGAGTAATGCCTGTGAACACCCTGTGTCAAGGGTGGCTTGAACTGCTTTACCTGCCACCCAGACGATGACTACTGGCTGGTCCCATACAGTTACCTGGTACCTCCAGCTGAAACTACAGTCCATTTCTTCAATGGCATGACCATCCCCACATTTGTCCAATCCTATCTGGGTACCCCCAGCCTGTTTCCACTGATTGTGAGCCCCTTGTGTACACATGCCCTGGATGGTCACACCTATAGAACATCATACCCTTCCCAAGATATTTCAGTGCCCCTCGATGCTGCTTATCCTATTGGTGCTACTTGCCTCTCTCATTCTTATTCACCCATTCCTTACTAGGTTCAATTTCAGTGGCTGAAAAAGCTTCTGCAATTCTAAGAGCTTCCTCTACCGACTGAGGCAAGTGACATCTAACCCATAGTTGCATCCCTTCCTCAAGGTCTCTTAGGAACTGTTCTAATAATATTTGGTCTGCTAGTGCTTCTCTACTAATACTAACAGGAGGCACTTATCCAGAAGGTCCTTTAATAGCTGCATTAAGACCCTTGGGTTCTTATTCTCTTTTTCTTTCCTAACCCTAAAAAGCTGCCTATAATGCTCAGGTGTCATTTCTAATTGGTGTAGTTTGGCCATCTTAACTTTATAGTTGTATGCTTCTTCCTTATAAGAAGCTTGAGCCTTTCCTATCAATAACGAGCCTAACTGGCCAGCCCACAAGGCCCAATCCAACCCAGTTTGTATCGAATTTCTTTCAAAAGGCTCAATATATGCTTTTCTGTGTTGTCTTCCCTCATCATTTTATGCATCTTGAAGGAGGACCAATTATGTCTAAGCCACTCATGTTTTTGTAGTGCTTGCAGCTGCTGAACCTCCAAGACTTTCATTATAGCCTGCAACATTTGACCCAAAAAATTGACCTGGAACACCATATTAAACTCCATCTCTACATCAGCCTCCAGGGTGGTATCACTTCTCTCGTTCCTGGTCAATGTCTTTTATCTTTCAGGCTCATTGCTGATCCAGCTCAGCTCACCAACATCTGGCTTCCATGGACTCTGATCTGGTAAGTACACTGATTCCTTCAAGTCAACCCTGGTGAACAGCCTTTCAACTGTAGGCTTCCACCACTCACCTCTGCCGGGGCATTCTACTTTCCTGAACTATTCTGGGTGATGCAGGGAATTCATTTCCGGTTCCCCCAAGAAGTTGCCCTGCAGTGGCTTTGAACTGGTATTTGCATTCTGCCCCATGAATCAGCACCAGCATGCATTTACAAGGCATACCTATACTGGGGCTGGATGTTCCCTTTCCTTCCCTTCTTCTGCCACTGACAGTCTGTCTGCTTGCTGCCCCAGCGTTTCCCGTAAGTCCTGCTGGGTGGCATTCTTTTTGTCTCTGCCACAGATGAAAACCATGGTGGATTATAATCCAGTTGTCATAGAGACCATACAGCTCAGTGTTGTGATATGATGTTAAAAGCTTTGTTTACATTGCAATGTCTTCCTGAACAAGTGGAATACTCATTTAGATCCTCAAAGAGGGTGAACTTGGCCTATGCAGTCCAACCAAAGTCCTGCAAACAGGTTTTAAGTAATATAGAGTTCCCCTTATCTAGGTTTGGAACATGAATAGTGATGGCTGTAGCAGCAGGTGATTGTGTATTATCAATCATAATGTATGCTAATTTTTTAGGGCAGGTATCAGAGGAAAAGTACACTAAAGAAACCTTTTTGTGAAAGAAACTTTTGTTGCCATTCTGTCTGTTACAGAGTGACTTTGAACAAGTCAGCAATGGCTTCATGCACCAATTAATGCAGTTGTTAAACTGAGAAGAAACAAAACTGAAAAACATATGTGACATCTGACTTGAATTACTCTGGCTAATGATCTAGGTAGAGAAAAAACAAAACAGATGGACAAACAAAAAACCCAGACTTTTTTCCTTGAAAATTTCCATTTAGTCAAAAAACCATTTTGACAGAAACTTTTTGACCAGCTCTAGGCAGAACTTTTTAGGACACACAGAGAGAACAAGATCTTTTGCTTCCTATGCTCCATGTGTTTTTTGTTTTCCTTTGCAAAGGTTAAAAATGAGCTTGCATCTTTTTTTTTCTTTATGCTATAAGAAGACACAGGAGAATTTAATAATACCAGATCTTGCCTTCCTGGTGGCTGAACAATCTGGCATGCAAGATTTCTCAGCTATTGCTTGAAAGTGAGGTAATGAGAACTGACCAGAGACCAGGCTTTCTGGTTCATGGAAATTTTATTTTCTTAAATTATCAGGAAACTGGAAAGTTGGAGAAAAATTCATTTAGAAAACAGACATGTGATGTTTCCTAAATGAAATAATCTCCCTTGATCTTGCCACTGCTCAGTGGACTTGCCTTTCCTGTCAATTTCACTGTAGGGAACCCTTCTATGGATTCAGCAAGCTTGGAAAACCTGAAATATTTCAGATGATATTTTTTAGGTTCAAGAAATTGTTGTTCGCTGATAATACTTTGTTTAACCAATTTAACAAGTGAATTTCTGGCCAGCTCC